CTTAGGTTGGTTGGTTTTTTGAGACAGGGCCTTCTTGTAGCCCCAGCTGGCCCACAACTCATTATGTAGACCAGGCTAGCCTCTATCTCACAGAGATACTCTGCCACTGACTCTTGCCTGCTGGGATTAAAGGCATGTGCCACCATGCCTGGCAGGTTGGCTGGCTCTTATGTTGTTTCTTTGGCTATTACAGAAGCATGTCAGCTTGGTGTAGTCTTGTTTATTTTTTTCCTTTTGTGGCTTGAGCTTTTGACTGTCATTGCTAAGAACAACATCAAGAAGCTTTATACCTGTTTTCTTCTGGAAAAGATTTATGCCTTTGGGCTTATTTGGTTTTTGTTGTTTAATTTTTAAACGTTATTGAGAGAGAGAGAGAGAGAGAGAGAGAGATGTCTGTGTGTATGTGTGGATACACATGTGCCACAGTACATATATGAAAGTCAAAGGACAACTTGTGGTGGGTAGTTCTCTCCTCCCAGCATGTAGGTCCTAGAAATTGCACTCAGTTCATTACACTTAGCAGAAGCACCTTTACCAAGTAAGCCATCTCGCTGGCCCTTGCTGAGCATTTTTTTTGGGGGGGGGTTGTTGGTTTTTTTTTTTTTTTTTTTTTTTTTTTTTTTTTTTGGTCTTTTTGAGACAGGGTCTCCCTGTAGCCCCAGCTCTTCTGGAACTCACTATGAAGACCAGGCTGGACTTGAACTCACAGAGATCCACCTGCCTCTGCCTCCCGAGTGCTGGGATTAAAGGCATGCATCACCACGACTGGCATTACTGAGGTTTTTATATAGTTTGAGGTAACTATGTGTATGAGATAACGCCTTCCCTCTCCGTCTTTCTGTTCCTCCCTTTTTTCTGCCTTTTACTGTTGCTTTGATCATGCCTTCTTGTCCTGTCAAACCTGGTCTAGAACTTCTTGGTTCACATGACCCTCCTGTTTCAGTGCCCCAAATATCAGGATGAAATGCCCCCTCTGTGCCTAGCTATGTTTTTAAAATTAATAATTAATCTTAGTAGTCATTCTTTGACAATACGTAGAAATTTTCCTTATGTTTTCTTTAGAGATATTGTACACCACTCTGTGGGGAAAAAAACAGAATTTTTTCAGACATTTGTTATTTTGAATATTTTGCTCTCATAGTGTTGCATGTGCTTTTCATCTCTGTCAGAACTGGTCCTTCAGGGTAATTTTGTAATGATAGTATTGATAGGTCAAAGAGAATGCATGTATACTTCTGTTAGACACTTTCAGTTTTCTTTATATAGTTTTTGTGCTGTTTAGCATTCCCATCAAGAATGTGAAAGAATGCCTGCTTCTCCACAAATGTCCAGTAATGCAGTTTTTGCCAATTTGATGGTCAAGAAAGAGTATTCTAATGTACTTTTGATTTGCATTCTTATAACAAGATCTGCTAATTTTTTGTGTGCTTAGGGTGTATTTATGATTGTTTGTGACCTGCCTTTCATGTGTTCCACTCATTCTATTGGCTTTTTAGTGCCTTCTCCATTTTAAGACTTCTTTACACACTAGAAATACTGGCCTTATATCTGTTATTTATATTGTATTTACTTTTTTAATGTACTTAGTATTTTACCAAAGTGCTTATGTATAGTTGATTTTAATCAGTAGTCTTGTTACACATCCTATTTTGAGACATAGGTGATCTGTTCTCCACAACTAGATGATAAAGTCACCCCTGTTTTCTTCTAGTATTTGTTTGATTCTATTTGTAATGCATATCTTTGATGTATTTGGATGTTTTTCTTGTACACTGTATGAAGAATGAGTTCAGTTTATCTTTCCCACGCGACTAGCCAGTCATCCCCAGTACATTCATACAAACATTTCTCTTTTCCCCAGTAACTTAAGATACACTTTTTTGTGTCTAAATATATTGGGTTTTTTTTTAGCATCTTCTCCATTTTAGGACTGCTTTACATATTAACAGTACTGACCTTATATCTGTTGTTTATATTGTATTTGCTTTTTGAAAGCTTAGTACTTTTCCAAATGCTTATGCAGGGTTGATTTTACTTCGTTCCTTTACATTTTAAGTGAACTTGTTTTTCTTTTCTAAATGACTTGGGGATGAACTGCTTTTTGCCCTCTACCCTCCCTTCAAGGGCAGAGCTTTCACTCACCCTGTTCGCCTGCCTTCTCCTTCCTTCCTCTCTGCCTTGTGTTTGGTTAGAATTATCTAGAAGTTTGGGTCTAACTTCCTTTTCATTAATTCTTTTTGTTCTGCTTTTCTTAGTGCCATGCCTCTACAAAGTTGTAATTCTTTCTTCCAATTGCATCAAATATCATAGAACCTTCTCCAGCAGGTTTTGGCATTCGTCATGAACTTTGGCAACATCCTTGCCCGTTACAGTATTGTAGCCAATTCTTTCCTCTGTTGTACTCATTATCATTTCTAGACAGACCTACAGTGTAATTTCAAGTCCCTTTTTTGTCAAAGTTTCCTGTGAGCTAAATTTCAGTATGTTTGTATGCTGAAAACTCTGGAGCAGCTGAAATACTTGTTTCTTTGTAAGCAACTTGTCTCTTCCTTCGGAGGCCATTCTAAGATTATTTTAACAATTAAGAGTTGATAAATCTACTAGAAACTGACTAGTTACAGTACAATGTTTCCTTTCATTGGCCTTGACATTCATTCAGATAGATTTTATTTGGAAGGTTCAAATCTGTTTCCAACCCAAAGAAATGGGCGTTTCATTTCCTGTGTTTTCTTCTGTTTTCTCTCCATTCTATCTTTTTGAAACTCCCACTTATTAGATGTTAGATCTTTAGGTCTGTCTCCTTTTCTCTGTATCAGCCTGCCCCCACCCCCACCCCTATTTTTTTTTTTAGAAACAGATTATGTATCTTCTTAAAACTTGCCAGTTACTTAGTTTTCTTGTTCTTTTCTTCATGTTTCCTGGTTATTCCTGGGAAGTTGGCAATTTTCTCTCTGTCTGGTTTTGTGTTTGTCTTTCATGTGATTCTCATCTTTAGTGATTCTTGTCCATTTACATTTTAAATTGTACTGAAATTCTAAGCTCATCGTTACTGGTTCTTGATCTTCTCTCTTATTAGATTCTTATGTCTTGATTTTGGATCCATCTGATTCCATCTATTTTATGTCTGCCATAAATGCATCTATCCCAGTTTAGTCATTGAACCCTGCACAAAATCCAGTGATATTATGAATTTATTTTTATTGTCGCAACTTTTATTCTGCCTCAGAAGAAAGTTTGAAAGAGAAGTAAAATCTACTTGTTAGTTTTTCAATTTATGAAACTGTTACTTAGTCCATCCTTTCTTCTGCTGAACCATCAGATAGATTCTGAACATACAGGAACTATGTCGTTGCTTAGATGAAATTCTGGGGACTCTGGGTCTAAATCTTAGTTTTGCTATTCAGCATCTCTCATGTTGTCATAATAGGATCATGTAGAAAACCCAATGCTAACATGTTAATGTAAAGCACAGTAAATCACCTTTTTACTGACTTCATTCGGTAGAGAAGAAAGAAGAATTGCATGAAATTTATGAACAAAATTCCCTAAAAGAATTAAAGAATTTTCCATTTAATTTTGCATATGTATTTTAAGTACTAAATTATTTTTATTAATTTTTTAGTATTACTAACTATGCAAAATCTTTTAGAAAAATAGTATCAAAACCAGAACATTTTTCACTCCTTTCCGATGTCTCTCTGCTGCCTCCAGGTCAATGATCATGAGAAAAAAGATTGTAATCACAGTGTGCTTAGCAACCCTGCAGTCAAAGCCAGAGGAGCTAGTTGGATGGTTTTCATAGTCAGTGCTTCAAGAACAGGGCAAGTCTGATCAGAAAGCCCCAGGTTTCCCATCAGCTGCTCAGATATCCCGTTTTCCCACAGTCCTTATGGCACAGATACTACAAATACATTGTTTACCCAACTTCCATTTTTGTTCTTCTTCTAAGTTGCCTTCTGACCACACATTTGCCACCTGACACCCAACAAAGAGTGACAGATCCAATTCTCAATTGCGAGAGTTTCCCCTAATAACCCTACTAAGCATCCAGGACTCCATCTTCCTTTTGGAATTTAAGGGGTCCTGAGGTCTTCTAGGGAGGCCTTACCCATGGAAAGAGAGATCTTGGTGCTGAGCAAAACCCCACAGCATACAGCTCTCCTGTTGGGTGATGAACAAGCAAGGTTCTGGTAATATAGGCATTCATACCCACTCAGTCAGGGAGCCAGAGGCCTCATGAGAGTTTAGGCTAGCCACTGCCTCTAGCCGATGCCTTCTTCTTCACCTTTTGAGATACCACTTTGTCATTAGCACCACTAACTGCTTTCTACACACTCTACCTGTATCAGATTAACTGTGTGAAATTGATAAACAAGAGTGATTATAAGAATGAAAACTTGACTTCCTCCTCAATGCTCCTTGGAGCTTTTAAGGCCTCAGATAAACATCTTAAATCTAAAATATTCAGTCTAAAGCACATATATTGCAAAGATTTTCTTTACAAATTCCTCTGGAAAATTACTGCTTCAAAAATGAGCAGAGCAGAATTTATGCTAAGACCTTTTGTCTTCTCTCCAACCAATTTCCACACCCTGTGAGGTCAGCTCCACCTACTCTGTTCTCCCAAATTTGCAATAGATGAAAACAATATCAGTAAAAGTAGTATTAGGGACTGGAGAGAGATGAGTCGGTGGTTAAGAGCACTGACTGCTCTTGCAGAAGACCTGGGTTTGATTTCTAGCACCCACATGGCAGCTACGAACCGGTCCTTAACTCCAGTTCCAGTGGAATCCGAAGCCCTCTTCTGACCTCCGCCGCATTGCAGGACAGGGTGCACTCACATACATGCAGACAATACACTCATACACATAAAAAATAAAATAAAAATAATAAATAAATATTTTTTAAAGTATTATTAGTGTCCTTCTACACAGGGCAGTGTTCCTGGAATTTTGTGTACAGTGGTTCCCTCTAACCAAGTGCGCCTGTGTCTTTTGCAGTTGTGAAGATGACCTCTCGGAGGACCGAGATGAGCTCCTACATGGCATCTCAGAGCTGGACATCACCAACTCAGACTGCTTCCCCTCCCAGCTGCTAGTGCACGGGGCTTTGGCCTTTCCTCTGGGGCTAGATACCTACCATGGCTGTGTGATAGCCGCTGCCCGCTACGGCCGGGGTAGGGTGGTTGTAACTGGCCATAAGGTATTATTCACCGTGGGTAAACTTGGCCCCTTTCTGCTCAATGCTGTCCGCTGGCTGGACGGGGGCCGCAGAGGCAAGATCGTGGTGCAAACAGAGCTGAGGACACTGAGCGGACTACTTGCGGTAGGGGGTATAGACACCAGCATTGAGCCCCAGCTGACCAGTGATGCAAGTGTCTATTGCTTTGAGCCTACGAGTGATGTGGGGGTTAAGGAGCTGCAGGAGTTTGTAGCAGAGGGTGGCGGGCTGTTCGTTGGAGCCCAAGCCTGGTGGTGGGCCTTCAAGAACCCCGGAGTGTCCCCTCTGGCTCGCTTCCCAGGAAACCTGCTCCTCAACCCTTTTGGCATCAGCATCACAAGCCAAAGCCTCAACCCAGGCCCCTTCCGTACCCCTAAAGCGGGAATACGGACCTATCACTTCCGCTCCACCCTGGCTGAGTTCCAGGTGATAATGGGTAGGAAGAGAGGGAATGTGGAGAAGGGCTGGCTGGCCAAGCTGGGACCAGATGGGGCAGCTTTCCTGCAGATCCCCGCCGAAGAGATCCCTGCTTACATGTCAGTGCACCGCCTCCTGCGGAAGCTGTTAAGCCGCTATCGACTCCCTGTGGCCACACGAGAGAACCCTGTCATCAATGACTGCTGTAGGGGAGCGATGCTTTCCCTGGCCACAGGCCTGGCCCACTCTGGAAGTGACCTCTCGCTGCTAGTCCCAGAAATTGAAGACATTTACAGCAGCCCGTATCTGCGCCCCTCGGAGTCTCCAATCACCGTGGAGGTCAACTGCACCAATCCAGGTATGGCAGAAGGGTGGGAGCTTGGTATTACGGGCACTGAAGCTGCATGGACACGGCATTGATGAAGTGTTAGAGAGTGTGACCACCAGTAACCGGTCATCTCATCTTTCTTCACGTTCTTTCAAGAAAATAGGGACTGGGGTGTTGGTGGTGTTTGGAAACCATCAGTCAGAGCAGTGTGGACGGGAAAAGGGTGGCAGCATTCATGGGGTCTGTAGAGCACTGTGTGGAGGGGGATAAAGTCTACACTTCCCGCGCTTTGGCAGGCACCCGATACTGCTGGATGAGTACTGGACTCTACATACCTGGAAGGCAAATCATAGAAGTCTCTTTGCCTGAAGATGCTGCCTCTGCTGATCTGAAGGTGAGGCCCGCTCCCCATCTCCCCACCAAATGACACCAAATCCAAACACTCACCATCAGTGCTAGTGACTTTCTAGTGCTGGGATGAAACATTCTGACAAAAACAACTTGGAGGGGCAAAGGTTTATAGCATCTTACACTTCTGAGTGACAGTCCATCACAGCGTGTTTCCTCTGCCTGCTTCTCAATGCCAGAACTACCATATGGGATAGGTAACTAGGACTGTGCTACAGAAACACCAAGGTCCATTTATAGGCATCAGTTCTCCTCAGGTGAAACTTACTGGTCATTCCTGCTCCTTCTTTAATGTCTGTATAAGACTCACTGTGAAGTTGTTTCAGTCCCTTGAGGGTGATTTCTCTGCTCCAGATACAAATTGGCTGTCATACTGATGACCTGACCAGGGCCAGCAAGCTCTTCCGAGGCCCCCTTGTGATTAACCGCTGCTGCTTGGACAAACCCACGAAATCAATCACCTGCCTCTGGGGTGGTCTCCTCTACATTATCGTGCCTCAGAGCAGCAAACTCGGTTCTGTGCCCATCACTGTGAAGGGAGCTGTCCGTGCTCCGTACTACAAGCTAGGTGAGCAGAAGCTACAGAGTGCATCCCAAGGGACGGGAGGCGCTGTGAATGAAGGGGTGGCTGGGGCTGTTTGGCTCACAGAAAACAGACACAGATCAATGGAAAGAGGAGGTTAGCTTCCTTAGGTTCTGGTCTGATGCCAAAAAGAAAAAACAAACCATGTCTATAGGGGTATCCTGGAAGGATGGAGGAAGGGATGCAGTTGTTCCTGAACTTAGGGTTCTCCTCCTGGAGTTCAAGTTGTATGTTCTAACCTAAGGGATTGGAAAAGGGTGTTTCAAGCTCCATGCCCTGTCTTCATAGGAGAGACATCCCAGGAGGAATGGAAGAGGCGTATCCAGGAGCATCCTGGTCCCTGGGGTGAGCTGTCCACCGACAACATCATCCTGACGTTGCCAACCGCGAATCTGCGTGCTCTGGAGAACCCCGAGCCACTCCTCCGCCTCTGGGATGAGATAATGCAGGCTGTGGCAAGGCTGGGAGGCGAGCCCTTCCCTCTGCGCCTGCCACAGAGGATTGTGGCTGATGTGCAGATCTCAGTTGGTGGGTGCTCTGAGTGGATGTCTGTGCATGCTACCCCAAACACCTTTCTTCTTTCTATAGCCATGTAGCAGGAGGCAAGGAGGATAATGATATATAGCTAGCAAAACATATAAATATATCCCTTGTTGTTTAAAGGGAAAGAGAAAAATTACATATGAAATAAATAACAGCTTAAGTCACCTTGTCCAGAAATGCCATCAAAGACGTCAAGAGATATCACCTGAGCCTTGCCAGGTGCCCCTCAAGCAATTTTTAGTGGGCACATACAGCAGAAGGCCTTGACCCAGTTGCGACTCATTGAAAGACTCTGAATAAAGAGCTCTTAGCTCTGAATTAAGGAGCCAAAGCAATGAGGGGAGAAATATGAACACAGCACCAAGGAAATTTCTCTTGACCCTCGTTTTTTTAGTTTGTATAGATAACTGCTGTAAAAGAGCATCAGTGTGTGTAATCCCACATCTAAAAGTGAAGATGAGGCACCTTCCAAGAGTTTTAAATTTTGAGAAAATGGTGTGATGGCATAATGACACAGGCTCAATGGATAACCCTCATAAAAGCATGTAGTGGCACCAGTAGCCCCTGCAACCTACATTCTCCCATGGCCAGATGGAAATACCATTGCAGAGCGAGCTTAAGAAGGAAAGCCTGGGGGCTGGAGAGATGACTCAGTGCTTAAGAGCACTGGCTGCTCTTGCAGAGGACCTGGCTTTGATTCTCAGCACCCACATGACAGCTAACAACCACCTGTAATCCCAGTTCCAGTTGAATCCAATGCCCTCTTCTGACCTCCGTGGGCATTGCACAATACAAATGCACTTATGCACATAAAGATAATACATTCATACACATAAAATCAAAAAGCAATTGAAAAATAATAAATAAAAGAAGGAAAGCCTGGGCGTGTCTGAGCTTGGTGGCTCCTTGGACCAGTAAGGGTACTAGGAGCAGCCGGAGGTATTTTGGAAGAGAAAAGATAAGAGAATTTAATGGTCTGGATGGGAGGATCCTGACCCTGTCCTCTTCTTTATTCTCAGGCTGGATGCACGCAGGGTACCCCATCATGTGCCATCTGGAGTCAGTGCAGGAGCTCATCAACGAGAAGCTCATCAGGAGCAAGGGGCTGTGGGGCCCGGTCCACGAGCTGGGCCGAAACCAGCAACGGCAGGAGTGGGAGTTCCCACCTCACACTACTGAAGCCACCTGCAACCTGTGGTGTGTGTATGTTCATGAAACAGTCCTGGGCATTCCTCGAAGCCGTGCCAATATTGCCCTGTGGCCCCCTGTTCGGGAGAAGAGAGTCCGAATCTACCTGAGCAAAGGGCCCAATGTGAAAAACTGGAATGCCTGGACTGCATTGGAAACATATTTACAGGTATTGGGCAAGAAATTTGGAGGGTGACGGGAGGAAGGGACCACCCACACCACGTTGTCAGACGATATTCCAGTGACCCTGGAGACCACCTACTGCATCTGCCTCCCACATTCAGCCACACAAAAACCTAGGTAAATCCAGGGATAACAGCCATATAATGAGGCTTCTCTGTGCAGCATTTTGCATGACCCTACAAAATGCACAGCTCTGCACTGACTTTCTAGTTTCAGCTGTACCCCCATAAAAGGGCACAAGAAAACATAGAAAGCATTGAGATATCTTAAATCTGGTAGAGTACTATAAATATACTTTACTCTTTCTCTGGCTTTAAAGCCAGACACACCAGTGACTGAAGCCAAATTCTCTGCCTTAATAGCTATCAGGCCACCCTCCTTACATGCCAGTCATGGGTTATGACCAATTTTTCCTCAGAACTGAGGAGGGTGGCAGCTCTGCCATGGATTCCACCTTGTGTAGGCAATCCAGGATCCCTCACTGCCTTGGGTCTGGAGGTTGGCTTCGCTTTGGAACTGCCATTCAGTGACCCCACTACCTGTCCCTGTGCCTGGATAGGTCCCTAGCTCATTCTGGGGAGTGGCATCACCTTGGGTTCAAGTCAGGACTGATCTATTCTGGTTCTTCCACCTGTTCAGGCTCCTCTTTGCCCATGCTCGGTGCTACGGCAATAACATAAAATATTGCCCAGGGGGTGGGGTGGCTGCTTTGCTCACTGGTGAAGTCTTGTTGGACCTGGGAACTGCCCTGACACCACTTCCCTTCAAAGCCCTGACTGGCTAGCCTGGGCTCTTTCTAATAGTCTCAGAAGGATGATTTAAAACAAGCTCTATGAAGGGCTGGAGAGATGGCTCAGTGGTTAAGAACACTGGTTGTTCTTGCAAAAGACCTGGGTTCAAATCCCAGCACCCACATGGCAGCTAACAACTGTCCATAACTCCAGTCATAGGGGATCCGACAGCCTCTTCTGACCTCCGTGGGCATTGCACAACATGGGTGCACTGACCTACATGCTAGCAACACATGCATACATATAAAAAAAAACAATAAATAAATAGAAAGTTCTTCTGACCTCCGTGGGCATTGCACAACACGGGTGCACTGACCTACATGCTAGCAACACACGCATACATATAAAATAAAACAATAAATAAATAGAAAGTAAAAAAAAAAAAAGCTCTATGAACCTGGCTAGTGTGGCCTCTTTCCAATAGCCTCAGGAAAACTGCTCCTTTCTAAAATTATAGCATACTCTTTATTCTACTTAACTAAATTGTCCATAGACTTCTACTTGATTTACTTTCTTCCCAAAGGCCGATTTTGTAGTCTTGCCAATTGACGGGAGGATTAGTGAGGATCTCAGCATAGTGATGGGAAATTCCAAATTGCTGAAGTCCAACTTTGCCTCTGTGAAGGATAATGAGGATTGACCCCCTCCAGCCAGGTTTAAACCCGTGTGAACATCCTGTCCCTCTTTTCAGCATCTCATGGGTAAATAAAGAGTGTGACAAGGGTGGACAACACCGATCATCCATCACTGATTGGGGCATCTGCTTTGCACCAAGCACCATGCTAGCCCTAACACCTTTCTTAAGATTAGTAAGTGGACCAGGCATGATGGCACGTGCCTTTGATCCCAGCCTTCGGGAGGCAGAGGCAGGCGGATCTCTGTGACACTGAGGCCAACCCAGTCTACATAGTGAGTTCCAGGTGGGCTGGGACTAGACCCTGTCAAAAAAAACCTGAAAGATTAAGTGGAAGAGCAGGGCATGAGGCCAGCACGCAAAACAGAGACAGTCCATGACAGATGCAAAGCTAATGTTCAGCAAGTTAAATTTATTAACTTCACTTATGGTGTGTGTCCAGCCGTCTTTTCTGTGGGTTGGATGTCTCACCCACTATAACTTTTTCTAGCTCCAGGAGGCCTTTGGTTGGGAACCGTTCATTCGCCTCTTCACTGAGTACAGGAACCAGACCAACTTGCCCACTGAGAATGTCGACAAAATGAATCTGTGGGTGAAGATGTTCTCCCACCAAGTCCAGAAGAACCTGGCTCCGTTCTTCGAGGCCTGGGCCTGGCCCATCCAGAAGGAAGTGGCTACCAGCCTGGCCTATCTGCCTGAATGGAAGGAAAATATCATGAAATTGTACCTTCTCACACAGATGTAAGGAGTGCCCATCGAGGTGGCAGGTAGAAAGGTTTGGGGAGGTAGGCAGAGGTAGGGGTTTATTCCTCTACCTCTGTCTTTTAGGGTTCTGGCCTTGTCCACTTAACTCAATGCTCTGTGTTGTATTACCGACTTCTGTCTCTAAGAAGCGGATTAAGAACACAGCAAAAAGTGATGCCAGAATTTCTCAGGAACAAGGCCTGTGTTTATGAGCCCAGCTCCTTTGCTATAAGTTATCAGACAGCCTCCTGGCCCTACACTGACCCAGTGCTGGGAGCTTGGGCACTTGTTTCTATACTGGCCCTTAGTTCACCTTCAGGGGCTATAGACCATGAAGGGTGGGTCTTACCATGGTATCCTGGTGTATGAATGGGTATAAAATCTGCCTCTTAGGGTTGTCATGAAGAGTCAGACTGATAATTATAAAGAGGTTTGTAGACTATGTGGTGCATGCCAACTAAGGATTGTATAATTTCATGCTGACCCATTCTCTCCCTTAGCTTGAAGGTTAAGATCAGCCTTTCCATTAGTAGATTCCTGTGCCCAAATCATGGGTCTTTTACCTATTAGTTGTAAGTTGCTGGCAAGATCCTTACCTTCTCCATGACTCTGTGACCTCATTCCATAAAATCGGATCCATTTCATATGGTTATTGGGAGAATTCAGTTGTACAGCACCTCTAAAACTAATTAGAGCAGTTACTGGGTACTGAGAAAATGTCTGCCACTGATTTTATTGTCTAACTAACCCAATATCACTCTAGAGCTAGACTTCACTTTTAGATAGTACTTGCAAACTCATAACTTTCAAAAATTCTTTGATACAAGAGCATGTAAAAATTATACATATTAATGAGATACCATGTCATATCTGATATATGTATACATTTTGTAATGCTTAAATCAGATAAAATACATCTGTCTCTTCAAACATCTGTCATTTCTTCATGCAATTACATTCACATCACTTGTAGCTTTTTTTGTACGTAATTGTTGTCTGTCCTATGCATGCCAACCTCTAAAAGGATTCTGGTATGTGATTTTATGAATCTAAGAGATGGACTCACAATTCTCAGTGGAATTTTGGAATTTGTTTGCTGCTGAGTCTCGCTATACAGCCAAGGCTGGCCTCAAACTCATGATCTTTCAGCCCTGGCTTCCCAAGCGCTGGAAGTTACAGATGTGCATTACCATGCCCAGTTCCACAATGGAGGTTTTCTTAAGCTATTTAGATTTGGCATCTTTATCCAGTTCTTTGAGGTAAAATTCCTTCAGTGATAAAATCCAGAGTGGAAATCTAGTGAAAAACAGAACAATTCCAAGATAGTGTTTGTCCTTAGCAAATAGTAGACACCCCTTCTTGATGGTGATTATATTCTCATGGTGATGCACATTCAAGACACAATCAGCACTGTCAAGAGTTTCTCGTCAAACACATACAGAAAACTTCACTGTGAAACAAAGTTCAGTAGAGCTAACTCAGCTTTCATTTAATTACTGCGTATTCAACAAGCAGTTGTTTGGTTTTTTGTTTGCTCATTTGATTTAGAGCCTCCCTTCATAGTTTTAATGAGCATTGTCTCTAGGGTTGATGTTGTACACATCCATTTTTTCCTTTAATCCACTTCTTTTTATTTATTTACTTTAATATATCATATTACTTACCTAGCTGGAAACTGGGTGAATCTGTGGACCATAAGATTTTATGTATATAATGTTTCTTGGGATTTCTTTATCATGTAATTTCTAAACCCTAGAATTATTTCATGAATATCTATAGAGTAGGAGTTTTGAACACAGGCATTGAATATTTGTTCAGTGTTTAAAACAACTGCTATCAATTATGAAGTATTGAATAGATGTTCAGCATTGTACCAGCCCCTGTATATGGGCTATTTCATTTAATCCTCCCAATAATCTTATGAAATAGAAATTATTATCATCCTATTTTATGAATGTGAAAACTGAGTTTTATAGGGATTAAGTATGTTGTCTAAAGCTCTACTGGTAATAAGTGGTGGGTCTATGATTTTGAACCCGAGTATTCTGATTACAGAATGGGTGTTCATAGCTACAGTGCTTTGAATAACCAAATAAAGAAATAAGTCAGCACACAGAAGAATGTTTCTGTCCCTACTTGCTAGAGCTTTGGCTCTTCAGACTTGGTAGGAACAAAGGTCCTTCTGTTTCTTCCAAACACCAGTGCAAAGGAAAAACTCAAAGTAGCTCCTGAACTGCTTCCCAGTAGAAATGCTGGGTGAGCCTTAAGCATCAGGCAAGTCTTTTAGGCTCCAGTCATTCAGATTATTTGTCATTCTCTCTTGGGTACCATTCAACCATTTTCTAGTTTATTGGATTTTGAATGATGAGCTATTTGAAGCTCAGTATTTTAGAATAAAAATGTTTCCATTCTCATAGCCCCATCCTTTAGTCTATTTTCAGCAGTCAACCCCGGGATCTTTTAAATTTATAAAGTTATACATGTTATTCCCCTGTTCAAAAGCCTTCAGTGGAACTCCAACTTAAGATAATGAACTGACCATGTAAGTTTGCCTTCTTTCCTTTCCCAGGCCGCACTGAAATTGAAGTCAAGGAATACAAAAGAGAATCGATACCACTCTGCAAAGAAAACTAAAGGCATTTTTAGAAAAGATCTCAACATCTTTCTGGAAGAAAGTAGATGAAACATAATTAAGAACAGAAATCCGAAGACACCTTTCAGACAGAACATGAGCTGGTCTGAACGTCATAACTCCAAAGAGACCTGAGCACTAGAGAAGTCTTATTACTTATTGTACCAGTTGTAAAGAGACTCCCATCCTACCCGGCCCCAACCCTTGTATATAGAACACAGGCAATCTACTATTGGTACCAGTGAAAATGTCATTGTTATTGTTGTTTGAATAAAAGAATCAAACCACCTGAGGAAAGGTAGGAATTAGTGCTCCAAATGATGTTTTCTTGAAATAAGTGACCCCTAGCCTGTCAGCTAAGTTTCCTCTGAGAGTTGAGACCTCTACTCACATGCAAAGGATGTCTAGCTGTAGTGGAGACTGACTGGAGAAACAGAGCAAGTCCTTTAAAAAGTCGATAGCTAACATAGAGTCTTAATGTAGATTTTCTTGTAGGACTTCCCAGACATGGAGGGCAGCAAGGGAGAGAAAGGGAGAAACATAAGAGAAACAATCATTTAGCCTTAAAAAAGTTGAAAAACTATAAATTAAAAGAAATAAAATTCATATGGAAAAAATTAACAAAATTCTGGCCATATCTCTGTAGAGATTTGAAATATATTTGTCAAATAATAAGAACATGCTAAGAGAAAACTCTTAGAATTTTTAATGCAAAATAAGATGGTCAAAAGTATTTAGTAAACACGCTGAAAAAAAAAGAGAAGGAATCTCTCCAGTACAGCAAAAGGAACTAACAGACAATACAAAGGAAATAACCAGCAGTAAAGAATTGAGGGGCCCAATACAACCTACACCTAGGCACAGTCTTAGGAAAATTTGGAAGATATTAAAAGTGCCCAGCCAGGAAGAGAAAATATATCTAAGTCATCATTAGCTGAACGGAACAGGATGAGAAATAATCTGGCAGTTTTTCACCAGCAGCACTGAATGCCAGAAGTCAAGGGATCGGGGATTCACACAGCTTCTGGATTCCGTAGCAGGCAGACTGTTGAGTAATGTGAAAATAGACATCTTTTAGCAGGTGTGTTTTCTCCCTCCTTCAATTGTGCCCTTATTGAGGAAGTTTTCTAGAATAAAAAAAGAAGAAGAAAGTTCAAAAAGAGGGAAAATTGCATCTAGAAAACAGTGGACCTCACCCAGGTTGTCTCCCTGTAGATGGTAGTTATCCAGCAGGCCTGTTGCAGAAGAGAGCAGAAAGCTCTGTGCTCTCTGAGAAGAATGTGCATTGTGTGCCAGAGTATCACTGTGAAAATGGGAGATTTGAAGAGGTGGAGGATGTACCTTCTATAGTCAGCAAAAAGAAGGGCAAGTCAAAAAACTGAGAAATTAAAAAGTAGTGCAGGATTTTGATGACTCCAAGTACGGAAAGAGACTGGATTTGATGTCGGTGGTAGATACATTTCCTTTCTGGTCGTACAGGCCTCATGACATTGGAAGTTTAGGGGGAAAAATGCATCTTCTACCTGGCTCTCAGTAAATAGTATTTGCATAGCCAGAATAAGGCAGCTGCCACTTACTGGTCTTCAGCATTTGAGCAGTCTATCAGCAAAGCTGGAAAGGCTTAATGCTTCATTTAGAACAGAAGTGGAAAGTGCTATTGACCAGCTGAGGCGCAAGAAAGAGACTGTAAATTAGTTGGGGGCGGGGGGTAGGGAGGGAGGGGAAGGAAAAGTAGAGTTACTTGCACATTCAAAGTGGGGTTGAGAAGATACAGTCTTCATTTAATGGAACAAGAACTACACAATTAGTATATGACCAGTTCTATACATGAAACCAAGAGAAGTATTAGAAGTGACATCTAGCAGACATTTGGAGAAGGGCGGGCAAAGGAAAGGTGGAGATGGTGTAAGTTATATCCTTATCTTTTGTAATGGTGAATTAAAGATTGTTTAAAGTTAATAAGTCAAGAAATTATTGTTCAAACATTATTTAAAGATAGAAAGTTAGTTGCCAGAATATTAAAAAAAATAGATATTGGTAAAAGCATCTAGGAAACTAAGGACTAAGGAAGGAGGGTGGGGTGGGAAACTATGGTTTTCATTTCAAGTTCTTCTGTACTATTTAATTTTGTACCTTGTGCATGTATTACTTGGAAAAAATTTTGTAATAAACTTAAATAAAAAATCCTTGAGTGGCTTCGCGTTGACTAAGATATGGTTGAATGAAAACTTGACATGACTGACAAGGCCAAGAAGTCCTGCAGCTCCCCTGATGTGTCAGGCTAACTCTTCACCAGTGCCATGACTCCAGCTCTAGTTGCACTGTCAGCCAATGAGCCAATTATTCAAGCACTCTTCACCTTATCTTGTTTCTACAAGTGTTCCAGAAAAAAAAAAAGGAAAAATCCTTCTGCTGCTCTCACCATGTCTGGTGATTAAAGCTTCCAGTCTAGCAGGCTTGCAGTGTTTTTTAAATGAGGAGTGCTCAAGAGGGCATAGGCAGACTGCCAACAACTGTTCTCTCCAAAGCCCTAGTCTGTGTGAAACAGTTCGAGAAGAACATATGGGACTCTAAGCTTTTCTGTGCTCCTAGTCATTTCTAACATTCACAAGCTTTACACGAGGCCAACCAATCACTGTGGGAAGATCCCTAGCCATCTGTCAGTCCCTTTGCTATGGTCTTTGCTACTTCCTCTGTACATTGTAATCTGTTCTCTGCTATTTCCCCCTTCACTTGGGGAAACAATCTGATGGAAACTTTCATGCTACCAAATTTCTTTGACCTACTATCACTATGCTTTTAGTAGCTTGTTGTTTAAACTCCTTCCCTGGGGGAGAGATATAAACAATGTCCATTCCCTTGGTCCCAACTACAAACCAAGGTACAATTCCACCAAAGTGAGCTCTAGGAAGCCAATCAGTTTATTGGGCTCCCTCACAAAGCAATGGGTAAGAGGTTACTTATCGGAATGTGGGTTCTTCCCCCAGGATCCTCTCAGAAAGACCTCACCTAAGCATAAATGATAGTTCCCCATAGCCACATAAATATAACCCCCCTTCCCTTAGTCTTCTCTAACCTATATACTCTAGTCCTTCCCAAGGCCACATGCAATCATGGGTGAACTGCCCACCATGGGTTGGGAAGCATGGGTACATACTCAGGGGAGGATCCCTTGACTCTCCCTGCCCTTCCTTCTATGCAAGGGTGTCAACAGTCAGCAAGCCCAGCTGTGTTGATATCTGACAGACAAGCACAGCTGAGCTCAGGAAGATGGTGCCTTTCTGACTCAGAGGACAGTCCTATACAACATAGCTCTTCCTTCTCTACCCTCCCTAACATTTTTGGCTGAAGATAAATATTAGCATAAAAACTTTTCTTTACCTGAGTTATCTTCTCTCCCTATATGATAGAGATTGGTCCTAACAAATGAGAATGGTTCCCAGATTATCACTGTCATAGAAATAACTTGAAGTCTTTCACATTTTCCACACCACTCAGTCTGCATTTCTGTAAGAGGGAAACTGAAAGATGCCATTAACATTCCTTTATTGTTTAATTCCAAAACTAAGGGGACCCCTTGATGAGTGTTGGCCATACAGTCAATATTTGTAGGAACGACTTTCATAAAATGGAAACAATCTGGGCAAATGACTTTTAACCTTACAACCAAAAAATGACAAAGTCACTGAGCCATGTGCTTTTGTGACCTGGGCAACTGAGCTTGATTCACCAGAACCCCAATTTACTACACCCACTCAAAGATAATGAATGAATGTGGGTATGCTTGAGAATTAACATATCAGAGCACTGAAAGACAGCATATGGCTTTCATTACTTACAATGAAGATTGAGAAGAAGGCTTGACGTTGTGTGTATGAGATATTCTAGACCTAGGGATGTAAAGGAAAGACTGTCTGATAAGCGTGGATTCAAGTTTGTTCCCTAATTGAAGTGGGAGACATGGTTTTGAATAAAAGTATGGCTGAGGCCTAGATCCAAGACATGATTTCAGAGCACAGTTCCAGGGCACAGTTCCAAGAGATATCTGGGGGAGCAGGTTCAAGTACTAACTGTAATGTGGCATGGATCACCACAAATCCTCAATGGGATTTATCAGAAATCCTTCATATCTGATCTTCATAAGATAGATCTTCATCATACTCAGTGCCTAAGCCCCTGCCTCACCCAAGGTCACAACCTTGCCTAACATATGAATGTAACAGTCTGACAGATAACTGGAGATTGCCCTAGGTGCTAGCTGTTTTTGCTGACAGTAGTATCATACCCTATTCTGTCTTTCAAGGTGCTTTCCCCCCTATTTTCTTTGCTGCACACGCTTTGAACCCCATGAGTCAACTTCATTTTGAAAAGGATTTCTTTTCTTGATCCACAGTGTTGTGAGGAAACTTCCAAGTGTGGCAGAGAAACAAAAGTGAACCTCAGCCTTCCAGAGATGTTTCTTCCAGCCACACACACAAAACAATTCCCTGTGTAAACCAATGAAACTATAGAAATGCTACTTATATGCTTGGGATCTTGAGCATTTCCATGCTATAAAAAAAATAGCATTTCTTTGATCAAAGATCTGTAGCAATTTAGGTGGCAATATTCTTATCTCTGGTCTGATGGTTGGTTTCATAGCTACTCAACATGTTAAAGGCAGAGGAAATGAAAAATAAATAGAGGTGGAAGAGGTAACTCCAGATTTAAAAAATAACAATTAAGCCGGGCGTTGTAGTGCACGCCTTTATTCCTAGGACTTGGGAGGCAGAGACAGGCGATCTCTGTGAGTTCCAGGCCAGCTGAGACTACAGAGAGATCCTGTCTCAAGGAAGACAAGTAAAT